CTGGTCAACCAATTACAAATCCATGTAACAGTTACCTTGTCTAGACCATATTTGGTGCTAAAAGATCCCTTTGTGTACTGATTTTCAAGACTAACACAGCAATGTCTTTGAATTCTTATACAGCTGGTCCTCCACATTTGCAACTTGCAAATTTGAGTATTCAGGGATTTTAAGTTGTGCTGGAGGACCTAGAGATTCCTAGAAAGGTGTTATCTCAGTTTTTTTTAAAGTGTTTTTGTTATTTGCAGTTTTTTCACTTTCACAGTGATTCTGCATTCCTAACCCAGTAAATGTGGAGGGCCCACACATTTTCCTTTACTATCCCTCCCACAATCTATCCCATTCTACTGCTGGTAAGCTTTGGATTTGGAAGAACCAGAGAAATGCTAGAGAGGGCAAGTGAGGTTAACTTACATATCTTACCACCAGATCCAAAGCTGGCCCTGCCACTGTTCCATAGAATCATAAAATCATAGAATCATAGAGTTGGAAGAGGCCACAAGGGCCATCCAGTCCAACCCCCTGCCATGCAGGAACTCCCAATCAAAGCATCCCTGACAGATGGCCATCCAGCCTCTGCTTAAAGATCTCCAAGGAAGGAGACTCCACCACACTCCGAATAATATGACTGCCCATATCTTGTTGGAGACAAGAGGGATCCATTCAACCTTCAGGTTTTGCACTCCAATGGGTATAGGATGGCTAGATGCATCCAAGATGGTGGGTTAATTTTAAAGACACACTTTATTCCCTTTACTTGCAGTGGTGAGAACCATGTATTCCTCCAGAATACCCCCATCCATCACTATATATGAAAAAGACATAGGCAACTCAGCCAAACTCAGTCAGTCTAGCTCTGGAATCAGGAATGTGCAACCCTAAAGCTGCTGTTGGGACTACAGCTCCCATCAGCCTTAGCCAGCACATAAAGGATGCTGGGAACTCCAGACCAACAATATTTGAAGGGGTTTACTCTGCCCATCCCTGTTTCGCTGAGGGCTGAATTCTGCATTTGAGCACACAGAGAGACTTGTGGATTGTGTTTTAATGCAGAACATGCTCAGTGGTGGAATGTGCACACTTGGCACATCATCTCCCAAATCTGACTCATACCAGATTTTGCTACCATCTATGGAATGAGTAGGGAAGGATGGCTCACAAGGTTGTGGGGTGTGGAAGGGAAGATTCTGGATAGGGAGGTTGTTTGCGTTTGTTGCGTCCGCATCCAGGGCCACTTGCCATTTATGTATCCTATACACAATCAACAATCTGAAAAGATAGCCTTGCTTTCTTTCAAACAATTCACGAACAAGTTACTAGCTCTCATGGATGAACATATTGCAGGCAGGGTCTGCTGAAACCTATAATGCAAAACAACTGGGGAGATATATATATATATTGCGCTCTTCCCTCTTTTTTGCTTATGGGTGTCTCCTCATACTTGATCTTCAGTCTTGTTGACACTAATTCTTGCTTTAAAAACAACAACATCAAACCGCCCTCCCATTCAGACATGAATTTCAGAGTAAAGGTGTTTGTATATGATTCAAAGATATAGCTGTGTTAGTCTGTGGAATCAGTACATAGAGAGATCTTGCAGCACCTTTGAGACTAATTGAAAGAAATTGGCAGCTTGAGCTTTCGTAAACTTCCGTCTATTTCCTCAGATGCATTTAGTGTTTGTATATGGCACTGAAAGGAATAATTTCAATTTCTCTACACTTGCAATTGCCAGTGTGAGTCCCACACTGAGAGGAAGCCAGCTACTCTTTTCATACCACAAGAGTTTCCCATATCTGTGGTTTCAGAATAATGGAAGTTTCTCATTTTGTTGGATTTTTAAGGGGTTATGGAGCTCTCCAAGAATGCATTCCTGCACCTATTTACTCATTACCAAACCCTGTGGGAGTTATTTCCCAGTAAAAATGCTTAGGATTACAACTGGATGCTTACTTGTTGGAAGCAACTATCACAGACTTCAATGGGGCTTACACTCTACAAGACAGCAAATGCTAATAAATCCTCACTATGAGAACCAGCATGCAGAGAAATGGGTTTGCATTTGCAGTGAGTTGTGGGTTTTTTGTACGTGATTCCTCCTCCCAACAAATGAAATGACATGAAAAAGTCAATATGTCACC